TTTTTTTTTTTATTTATTTAAGTGGTATCTTACCAGCAATTAAATCTTCCATCAAAACTCCATATTTTGAAAATACTTCAGCCAATTCATTAACAGTGACATCAGGTGGTAAGCCAGTTACATAAACTGAAGTATTTGCGGGTTTTTTCTTTTGATTATTTTGTTTTTGTTTTTTTGAATCTTGATCTGTCTTTAAACATGAAATTAACATAAGGGTTAATTACATTGTATGATAAAGGAGTGAATATATTGGTATTGAAAATATTTACATTATCAGAAGTATAAACGTTTTTCCGTTTGCCTCGCTTTAATGGTACAGCAGGTTCCTTTGGTGGCGAATATAAAAAGACAATATCTATGTGTATTCCCGAAGAAAATTTCTAATTTTTATAGTAATATGTTTATAATATCTTACACTTTCGTTAACACCAGGTACAGAATAAGCAGATTGTTGAAGTTTCAACAAAAGATCTTCTTCCTATACAGAAATAAAAAATAAAATGAGTTTTTCGACAAAGTTTATGTTTTTACTTTTAACTATTAAACAGTGTTTTACGATTTTGATCCATTGTTGTTGATCTTCATCAAATTGCAAGGTTTCTCCGTCTTCACTCGTATAAGTCCATTTACCGATCGCTTCGATGTAGTGCATATTAGCATCTAAATGAAAATCAGAAGACAAAGAAGCGTTCTTGTCATTTTCTTGACCAGGATCGATATTTGTTGTTTCTTTACCAGTAGACATTGATATTTTGTAAAAAGAGAGAGATTCAATATAATATTCTTGAATTCCGCTCGAAGTCTTTGGCCGCAGATCTAATAAAATGATCTTTCTAAATTTGAAAATCCCTGGCCTAATGCTTAACCCTAATTCTGGCCAACCCGGTTGCTTTTATCGTTTTTATCGTTATCTTTACAACCAGATTTATTCCCATGTACAAAGACAATTTAATCAGCATGTGACATAAATAAACTGCATTAACATTTACAAAAATGATCTTATTATAGTCATAAATGCAAAAAAAATACGTGTTTTCGTCTGCATAAGCATAAGTTTCAAACTCGAACATACCATTTCCATATCATTTGTGAAACTTGGTACAATTTAAGGTTCTTTCTTCGCTATTTTAAAAAAAAAGGTTTTTCCAGAATACGTTATTTTTTATATCAGTTAACGCGTTTGTTAACTTATTAAATGTCTGACTCAGTTAGTCACAAGCCTCCTCAAGGAGTGAAAACGTCCGACTACAAGTTCGAAATTATTGTAACGGGTCCTAAAGCATCTATACAAGATTCGGTACAAGGTAGGCAACCTTCTTTTTAAGAGCTCTTGTTAAGGAAATAAAATATTATTAAAAATACAACTCTTTATAAAGTAGCGAATACCATCAAAAAGGAACCACAAATGACTTCTACCTCCGGAACTTCAAATAATGACGCGTCCTTCGATACCCAGGAAGAAGTTGATTTGATGAATTTTGATGAAGATTACTTAAATTTTGACTTTAATAATTATGCTACTAGGGAAGTAGATTGTAATGTACAACATATATCTACGATTGATCAACTCTTGTGTGATCTTGATTTCGGAAGAGATATTTTATTCGCCAAAGCAAATTATGTACCAGAGGATGAAATAACGCAAAATAAGCAGATTACATCAAAACTTTCGGAGCAACTAACACATCATGAAATTCCTGTAAAGGATAATAATAAAATGAGATCACCGTATAAACCCACAGATGTCCCGTCTGTTTCATCTCTTATGAAGGAGGTACAACTTTCTGAACCTTCTCTTACAACGAATGGAACACTACCGAAAGATGCAATTCGTACTTATATCTCGAAGGAGACACAAACGATTAGTTCTTCTCGTGTTGATGAGGTCGCTACAAAATTAACTTATACCACCAAGGGGACGCAAACTGATATATTTGTTCCGGCGACGGAAACGATATATCAAAAACCAAAAAAAAGAATAATATACTCTTTTGTTGAATTGTTGATATATCAATTTTCACCTCTTACAAAGGAGTTGCATGATGTTGTGGGTAGGAGATTCAACAGAGCCGTCATTGATTACGATTTATTACAAAACAGTTCTCAATCAAGAAACAATCAACCTCGGTACCCTGGTGTACAACGAGGTACGATTATTCCCCCAAAACGATATGGACGATATGGAGCTTTGGATCCTAGATATGAAAACGATAGATTTGCAGCATCGCCTATAAGAAAACATTTTGAGAGCCCGTCGGAACTTTCCTTTCTTAAAGAATGCGTATCTGCCCACAATAGGTGGATAGCATTGTTGAGAGAGAAGGAATTGCGGTTAAGCTGCTTAAAGGAATTTAAAGAATGTAAGAGTATGAAATGGATCAATGCTCACATGAGCCTCACTAATGAGCATTCTGAAAATTGTTTGACACATAAAATGGGCATAGATCAACAAATTAAAGCAAATTCTCACGAAAAAGATCATTTCGAAGAGGAAGACGGACATTAAGTTTAATTTCTTTTATAGACGAGTAAATTTTTCTATTCAAAAACAAAAAAAAAGTTAAGCGGAAAATTTTTTTTTTTTTAACCAAACCTTTATATATATATTAGTCTAAGTCGTCGGCCCTTTCTAACTTTTAGTCTTTTTTGCCATGCTTAAACTTTATGTAATATATATTTGTATGGTTGATTGTACAATATAAGCTATTTGATGTATAATGCATTTGGAGGGGGAGGGTTTTTTTTTGTTTATAATAACAGTTGTCTCTTTTGATTTTATTAAATTAAAAGACTCTGTAAATAGATGATTATATATATAACTATATATAAGTGTAATTATGGTTTGTTACAAGGTATCTTTCAATAATTATTTGTTATTGAATTTTATTTAGATTTATATGTTAAATATTTTGAAAGTAAAATTATGTTTCAGATTTAAAAAAAAAAAATTACAGTATATTTTTTGTTATAATAGGTTTTAATAAGAATTATTATTATTTTTTTTAAAAAAAACTTATAATTTGTACTTAAAGAAATTGAAATAAATTCTAAAAAACTGATATTTTATTATTAAAACAATTAATATGTAAAATTATATATTTATAATATATATATATATATATTATTAGTTAATTATTTATAAAATAATAATTTCACAGAAAAAAATTTTATATTAAATATTTATTAAAAAATTGTAAAAGTTAAAAAAATAAATTAGTTAAATTTAAAATAAGTTTAAATAAGCAATTTTAAGTATAAAAATTATAATTTAAATATATATATAAATAATTTAAATAAAATTATTTAGTGGATTTGAATTTAGTTAAATATCAATTTTCATTAAAGTTGGTTTTGATATACATAAGTAAATTATATTCTTAATGCTAATAATAAATAAATTTATTTTTAATTTTAATTGATACTTTTGGTTTTTTTTTAAATTAAAAAATTAATAATTTAAATAAAGTTATTTTACAGGTTAAAATTTAATTAAATATTAAATTAAATCAATATATATAAAATAAATTATATTTTTCAATATTTATAACATATTAATTAATATTATTAGTTAAATTTTAACTAATTAAATTAATGTTAATTTTTAAGTTGATTTATACCTAAATTTATTTTTAAATATATCAAAATATTTGATTTGATTTAAATAAATTGGTATTAAATATATTAATTAAAACTAAAATAAAATAGTATTACTTAAATTCAATTATCTAATTTTAGCTAATTTAAATTATTTAGATTAAAACAAGTCTATATTTATAAGTATATAATAAGTATAAAAAGAAATTATTAAGATTAAATTGTAATATATATATATATTGCAACCTAATTATATTGGATTATTACTTAATTATGAGTAAGTTGTTACCTACTTATTGTTTTTGCTATTCTGTAAACTTTTTATGTTATAGTTGATATCTTTTTATTTTCATTATTTTGTAACCTTTTTACTGTTAAGTTATTACCTATTTATTTTTTTTGCTTTACAGCCTTTTTGTTATTAAATTATTATCTATTTATATTTTTTACTCTATATTCTTGTTATTATTAAGAGGTTAGATATTTGGAAGCGGTTAATAAAAAGAGGGAAATCTACAAATTTTGAGTAATTTTAGTTATTAAACTAGTTTTGTTCACATAATCATGATCAGTAAAGTGAACTAATAAAAAATTTTTGACTAAAAAATGAATTTTTCCTTTTCTACTATCCGCTTCCATTTGTTAGCACTATTTCACATTATTTTTATCATCAAAAAAATATTTAGATAATGTATAATTCACTAAAAAATTTTGATTTCGCTGACAAGCTATAAGAAATCATATTTATCTTATTTAATTACCATCTCTTAATTTACTAAATAAGGCTAATGTAGAGTGCAAACTTATAATCATATATTTTTTTCTTTTAATTATTATCTTTAAATTACTATATGAAAGACAAAGTGCTAAATTAATATTTATCTAGTGATACCCCAAATTATAAATTTCTATTTTTTTTTCTAATATTATTTTAACTTAAAGTATATCTTATTATATGCATTTTATATCTTTAAAATTTTTCTCACATAATTGTTATTTGTAATCATTATCTTTAGATAATATATCAATTATTTGTAATATTATTTCATCATTTATTTAGAATATCGTTTTATTAATTATTTGAGGTATTACCTTATTAATACTTTTTTTTCTTATATTCTCTGAGTCTCTTTACTTTTTTGATTTCTTTTCTGTTTATTAGTGATAATTATATAAAAAAATAATTTCTTATATATTATTCTACTTTTAAATCCTATTAAAGTATACTTTATTTTTCATTTTTATATTTTTAAATCTTTTCTAATTCAATTTAAGTTATACTATTTTTATACATTTATTTTTTATATTCTTCTAAGATTCTCTACCTTTTTGATCTTTTTTCTGCCTATTGAATATTATATCAAAGTATAATTTCTTATTTTATTTTTTATATATTATTTTACTTTGGTATACTACTAAATATATATCTTATTTTATACTTTTGCATTTCTATAACTCTTTCTCATATAGTTGCTACTCTAGATGTTACTATATTAATTACTTTTAGATAATACTAATTGATCACTTTAGATACTACTTTTAATCTAATCTTTTGTCAGTAAGCGTATTTATCTAAAATTTTATAAAATTTTATTTTAAATTTTGCAAATTTTTATGTAATTTTATACTAGTTTCTTGCATATATATATTATGCTACTTACACAAAAAACTCAAGTTTAATTCTAATTCGCTTATTTTAAACTATCTGAATAAATTTTTAATAATTTTATGATTAAAGATTTTATTCCTATTCTACTTTAAATTTCAAGTTATTTTAAAGTAAAAAAAAAAGAAACTTTATAAAAATCTTAATTTTATCAAATATAGTTAAATAAGAAATAATCTGTCTTCATATAGTTATTAATATTATATATTATAATTAAATTATAGAATAAAATTAAAAATGTTTGTATAATAATTAATTTTCATATAAACAATTTTATAAGAATTTTTTCTGTATTATTAAGTCTTTTATTTTACGAAATAAATTTTATATCTAATAGTAAGATCTTTATAAAAAAGTAAAAAAAATTGTTAAAATATATAAATCTACTTTATAATATTTATAAACAAAAAGAATAAACATATAAAAAAAATCATTATGCTATATTATTAAGTACTCTTAGCTAAAATTATCATTTCTGCTAAGAATATTGGTAATAATTTTTTTTTGCTTATATAATAGTAGTAGCTAAATTTAATTTTACTTTTAAACTTATATCTAAATTTGCATATATTTAGACTGATTTTTCTAATTAATATTAGTTTAAAGCAGTAATCTCATTAAAAATATACAAATTTTTACACATATTATTCTATTGTATCTATAAAATGCAAGTTCATAATGAAACTAATTTTAATGCTTTAGCCTATGTCTAGAAATGTAAAGGAAGATGCTTAGCTAAGTTAATACTAATTCTAATATATATTTATAATTATATAAAAAGGATCATAAAGATTATAACAGTTGATTCTACATATTGGAGTTTCTGACCTTAATATTTTCTCTAAATTCTATAGATATCCACTATACTTAAATTAATTCAGCAATTTATTACGTCTTAGAATTTAAGATATGTTAGTTAAACTTGTAATAATGAACTCAATAGTAAGTTAGTAAAGAATATTATAATAAATCCTAGATGAGAAACAATATTAAAGGAAAAAATAAATTTGTATGGATTTAAATTAATTTCTTTAGTAATAATTTAAAACTTATAGAAGAGTTTATACTTACAAATGAATTAATTTATAACTTAAGTAAAAGCTATTTTATTTATATAAAATAAATTTACTATAGCTAACTATTTGCTACACTATAAATTAACTAAATATAGATATATATTCTAATAAAAATATACTTAAATATAATAAAATAATAAAATAATATAAACTATAAAAATAATAAAAAATAATAAAATAATTTACAGATATTAAGAAAATTATATACAAAACAAAATAAATAAAATAAATAGACTATACAGAAAATACAGAAAAAACAGATAAATAGGCAAAATAGAAATTATTATTGATTTCTATTTAGTATAGTAATAACATAATTTAATTTAATATTATCATTAATTGACAAATTCTACTTAATATTTTAAGCTGTAATTTTTTCTATTGACAATATATAGAAAGAACATATCAGTATATTTTTGAAGATTTATTACATAAAAAATTTCTATTCTGAAAATTTAAATTCTTAGAAAACTTACACTTATATGAATGTAATAAAGAACTAAATTTGGTCATTAAATATAGTGACAACTAATGTTATCAAATTGTATCTTTTTTCATCTGTAAGAATAGATAAATTTAAATATACAATATAGATGTTTGCCAAAACCTTTTCAAAATAATTTTATCATATCCTTTTCTATGTTTTTAATATAGTTTTGACAATTTTAGCTTTCATTAAATTGAATGAGTTTTATCGTATCTCTTATTATGATTTTAATATAGTTATATTTAAGTTTTAACTATTATTAAGAAGTTTTATCTCATAATATGCAAATTAACATAACTAGAAAAAAAGTTATATTATAAAGAAAAAAGTAATCTTTATTTCGTTTTCTACTATATAGTAGATTTAGAAACTTTTATAAAATATATTTTATATATGGGACCTTTGCAATAGAAAAGGGGAAACGGCTGGAAAAAATAAAAAATGAGTTAATGCTAAATCTGAACATATTTTGACTT